AAATCTTTGTCTTTTTATTCTATTTAACTGTACAACTGAGTTTCCTAAGTCCAAAAATGCCCAAATTATGAGTGAATGAAGCTTTAACCTGAACACAATAACTCTACTGAGACAACCTCCCTTCTATCCTCATATATGCTAACCTCAGCTTTTATAGACTCCCACAATCTCAGATAATCTGGAATAAAGAAGTCCAAATTTCCTCCTTTACAGGAGAAATAACTTTCAAAAAAGATTATAAAATGTGTTTCAAGTGATCATCAATTTGTCACTAACAGGAAAACCAGGAGCTTTCTAAAAGCAACCAAAATTATGGATGTATCTTAACTTCTGAGTTGAGGTATATCATTCCAAGTCTACCATGCATAGAGACTTCCCCATTCATTCACTTGCTCTCCCTTTACCTTCTGACAAAAGACAAAGTGCTCCTGTTCCCTCAAATGCCAACCAACTTCCAAACACTGTGAAATTGCCCTGTATATATTTACCCTGAGTAGATTAACTCATTTAAGCTTTACATCCCTACATGGCAGGCATTCCCATGCTCATTTTCAGAAGAAGAAATGCCTTACCCAAAGTAAAAAAGCTATTAAGTGGATATGCTCCAAATCGGAGTTTACCTGACCCCAGTCACTAGTCCCGTCACAGCTGGACACTGCCTCTCACTCAAGATTTACAAAGCAAGGAGACAGATTAAGTTGCCCAGCATAGGAAGGAGTATCAATAAGAGGGCAATAGTCAGAGATGCAGCCTTATCTCCAGACTCAATCTCCAAACCATCCCCCTTCCCTTTAATCAAATGAAGTTCTCATACCAGAGAAAGGTAAGTGTTTTTCACATAAAGCAGTCCTGATAGATACAAATCATTTCAAATGACAGATTAAATACAGTAATTCAAGCATAAGGACCCAATGATACCAATCTTGTCAAAGGACTGACTATTAAAGGGTTTGTAATAATTATACTTAGCACAAATTCTCAGCTACTGGATGCTGAGCCACAATTAGAATGACTTGTGTACAGAGATGAAACATTAAGATTCTGGGCAAAGGTTTTACTATAATTCTTGTTGTGTGTTCAGCGACATGGAAAACACCAACATGAGCATTCAAGAGAGATCAGCTTGAGCTATCTTGCAATTAGATCCCTGCTTGTCTTTCTTTTGTAATAATGAGTTAGTATACTATACGTGACTATGATGCCCTGTATATGTGCATTTTCCCTGAAGAAGAAATAGATACATCTGAGATTAGTGATAAAGAAAAATGAGATTATAACACAAATACTATGCCTACCAACACTGGGAAGAAACACTGTCCCTAGGTCCACACCAATGCAGAAAAGCCAAGGGAGGAAAAAGTCACGTGCCATGGAGAAACCACTAGAAGACCAAGGTAAGCCTTGGTAATACATTTGCCCAATGTCTCATGCCAAAAAAATGAGAATTCAGATTAAAGAGTTCATTTCAGGACTGAGAAAGGCTTATGAGTAATCTTACCGCATTTTAATTTCTTCAAAGATGTGACGCTCTTTCCCTTGAGCACCTTGTCTCTTTAAGAATATATTTTGAAAAATCATAAAGGTTGAGGGAATTCTCATTTGAATTTCTGTGACTAAACCAAGACTCGCCATTTTACAGACCATGAGGTCAAGAGAAGTCAATTGAGTCAACCTATATCCCAAAGAAAAAGTGAGTTTGGTTCTATCAACTTTGCAATTAGTAATATATGAACCAGGCCTATGTCCAAAAACAAGATTATAGATACTGTTATTTTACTTCATAATTTCAAACTCCACTACAGACTTTGGGCTAATATGTCCAAATTGTCTCAGAAACATTTAAGTATCCCCTTGCTACATGTCCCACAGGAGGGACCTAGCAAACACAGAATGAATCAATTTTCAAAAACCAAGGAGATCAAAGTAAAAAAGAGGGACTCAGTAAAGAACAAAATATTCTAACAAGACAGTCAAACTGAATTCAGTGTGTGTTCATTAAAGAATTCCACATCAAAAAAATTTCTAAAATATTGGGAAATTGTCAAAATTTTAATGCAGGCTAAGTATTTTAAAATATTGTTTCAATGATAATCTCTTGACTGATAATAATATTGTGATTAGGTAAGAGAATATCCTTGTTCTTGGGAAACGTATAATATGTTGAAGTAGTTAAGGGTGATATATTTGTCCCAACAATGGCAGGCAACTTCAAATACATCCCCCCAAAAGCAGATGTGCTGGGGTGGGGAAGAGTATATGTGAAAACAGCAACAATTTATAAATCTAGATGAAACCTAGTTGAACAATTCTTTCAATTTGTTCATAGGCTTAGTTTCTTTAAAAATAATGTTAAAAGGAAAAAAATCACCCTATTTTAAAAACAAAACAAGATTTTTTAAAATTTTGTGGTGGCAGACAGACACAGACACGCAAACACACACAGACACACACACACTCACACACACACACACAAAAGATGTTCTGTATTTAAAATAAACTGGAGGTTTATAATGGCTAAACAAAAGTATTAAAAGAGTGCCCCACAACTAACAAGATTTTCCAATGAAGTGTAAACTAAATTATTGCTATAAAGACCCCTGGGGCTTTTATGAAATGTGAGACTTGCTATAAAAACCAGCAGGAAAAAAATTATGCAGGTTTACCTTTCGATTATGTGAATAATAACAAAGTTATGGGCTGGCTGTTACCTGCTCTTTTCATCAAAGTGTTACATTTTTTTCATGACTAAACATGTATTATTCCCCTTTTTGAATGTTAAATAAGACCAGCTTTCACAAGTCCCAACTTGAGACTGGCATAATATACTTTCAGACTAAAGCAAAAAGGCTGTCTCATGTTAACTTTTTCGTTACTATACTAAATTTGCACTGCCAGCCAACGAAACACTGAAACACACCAAGCTAGCTGTTACGCTACTGTCCCCGGGACATGTTGCTTACAGAGGTATTGAGAAAGGAAAAAGTGCATTCTATCCCAAGCCCACCTCAGGAGAAAAAGGGGCCACCTACTGTAGTGAAGGGACATCACCTTATTTCCTACTTAAAACCATCACACACAAAGTTAAAGATGCTTCATTATGCCGGAAAATTTCACAGGTCCTTCTTCACACTTGGAAAGGTTGGTAATAACCCTTTCACAGTACGCCCCTCCCTTTTTTTTAAAAGGGCTTTATTCTTATAACAGAAGCCTGTCAAATATCTGTCAGAATAAGCTCCCTTCTATGATTTTATACACATCACTGGAAATGTGGGGTGATAATCCTCAGAACTTGCAGCAAAGTTCTTTGCTCAACATACTTTTAAAGGGGGCCACAAGAGATGCTTTTTCCTTTGACTGATGCTTTTAGTACCTGATGGTTAGTTGTTCTGGCAGTAAAATGTCAAATTATGAGCAGTACCTCCCTCATTTATAATTTGTGAATCCTAATGAAAAATGGCAAAAAGGTCAACATAAGAAGGACTAGTCTCCCAAACTAAAGTCTGCATAGCATAACTCTTCTACTCAAAATGCAACAAACTGGCATCAAAAAAAGAAAGAAAAAGAAAAGAAACTGGATTCAAATGCTAAAAGTGAAATCCATGGGGAAGTACAAATAGCGGAGAGACAGACAAACCTAAAGGAAGGATTGTTTGTAAATCTGCAAATTCTTATAAGATTGGGCCATTATTAAGTTGTTATTCAAACACCTTCCCTGGGACTAGCTACTTATCCATAACACACTTAATCCACTCAAAGCAGAATAATTAAAAAAAATTAAAATTGTGGTTATCTGTTTTTGTATGGTTAGGAAGCAGATAGGAAAAGATAATACAAAAAATATAATTTTGATACCAAATTCTTGATATTTAAGTTAAACACACATTTGGTTTAACTTAGAAAAAAAATAATACAAGAAATATAATTCTGAAAGGCAACTCTTGATCTTTAAGTTAAACACCCATTTGTTTTTCTGTAAAAACAAAAGGAAAACCAACTAGTATGTACACATTATTTCCTGAAGAAGGCATAAGTAAACACTAAGTAATACCTATTATAGATTAACTAACTTCAAAAAGTTTTCACCTTTGATTATTTTCATTTATCTTCATCCATAACAAGTTTTGATTCCATTTCATGAAATGTTATTTTTTAAAAATTTTAATGCTGCATTCAAGAAAATATCAGCATCTCTGAGATACTTATCTGAAAGCATGAAAATTATTTACAACTAAGTAAAAGTGGACGGGCGCAGTGGCTTAGGGCTGTAATCCCAACACTTTGAGAGGCCAAGGAGGGCGGATCATGAGGTCAGGAGTTCAAGACCGGCCTGGCTAACATAGTGAAACCCATCTCTACTAAAAATACAAAAAGTTAGCTGGGGATGGTGATGAGCACCTGTAATCCTAGCTATTCAGGATGCTGAGGCAGGAGAATCGCTTGAACCCGGGAGGTGGAAGTTGCAGAGAGCCAGCATTCTGACACTGCACATCAGCCTAGGGGACAGTTTCAGACTCCATCTCAAAAAAAAAAAAAGTTATCTGATTATATAAATCTGTCATTGTTGGATGCTTTTTTAAAGCAATAAAACAAATTGTTTTATGTTATAAGGTCAGCATTCAAAGGAGTCAGTGAATCCAGTCCCTGAATAATTTAACGTATTTTGAATATTCGTCATTGTATATGTCTATAGATTTCATTAGTTTCATGAATAAGACTACAGGTTTCCAGAGTTATCAATTGCAACAATAAACACATTTTAATTTTAGTTTTTTAATAATATGTAGAATAATATTTTCAAAGAAATAAAGCATATTCTTATTCCTTTTAATCCACAATTTAATTGGCAGGAAAGCTGCCAATATATGTTTTCTAGATAGCAATAGGAAGCTAGGGAAATCAACAAAAACAAAGACCTAAAAATTGGATCTGATGAGTTAGTAGGCCCCAACCTGAGACTTCATCCCCCACTCCTTAAGCAGACTTCTGGCCATCTAAGCTCCAGCCCTGGGTTTCCTTCAGGTGAATCACCATCTGATTCCTGCAGGTTCAGGAAATACTCTTCCCCAGTCAACAAATCTCACCTACTCTTAGTTGTGAGTCATTTACATTAGCAAGAGAGCAAGTTGTTCCAGTAGTTGCCGGGCAGGAGAATTTGAAAGGGTGCCCCACAGGACAATCTCTAAAGGGGTAGGGGAGATAACCGACTTCGTCTCGTTGGGGAGAAAATGTTTAGTTTTTATGCTTTACCAGAAAATCCACTTCCCTGACGACCTTAGTTTCAAAGCTTATTCTTAATTAGAGACAAGAAGCCTGTTTCAACTCGAAGACACCTTATGAGGTGAATGGACAGCCAGCCACCACAATGAAAGGTAAGCGAAAATTTTTTTATTTTGGACACAGCAATGATCAAAACTGTAATCATACTTCTACTTAACTCTGAGGTTTGAAGAAAAAGTAGAAATTAGAATGCTGACAATAAGATACAAGGCACCACGGTGAGCCAGGAAGCTTCAACTGTTTCCAGCTCAGGCAGGCAGAAACATAAACAACATATTGTGTCTTCAAAAGTAGAAACAATGTTGGCAATCACTTCTATTTAGTACTTTTTTTTTAACCACATTTACTTTATTAGATGAGTGAAAGCCAAAGTCTCTTATAATTGTTTCCCACACTTAAATTTGTTTCATAATCGTTTATCTGAATTTTTTTTAAAAAGAGCGAGACCAAAAAAAAAAAAAAAAATGATTTTTCTCTTTCCCGACTGCCTCGTTTTGATAAAAAAAAAAAAAAAAAACAAAAAAAAACTCAGTCTTTTCATTGTACCATAAAGAACAGGGCAATCCTCATTCTGATCCCTGGAGACATCATGTTGAAACACGTCAGGAAAGGCATGGAGAAAACTGCCCAGTGACTGACAAACAGGTTAGGAACAGCTTAGTTTTGTTCCACATTCAAACTGTTGGGGAAGTTTTCACTGCATTGAGGAAAACAAGAAGCAAGCATGCTTCTTGTTTTAAATTTTAATATGGACTTTTAAAAGACAGGTGAGCCTAAAGTAGAGTGACTTTTTGATTTCTGATTTTAATATTTATCTGCTATAGAATTGTGCATCACATTCTCAAGTTGAATCTGCTTTTATGTTAGCTAATATTAACATTTTAACAAGAGTTTTCTTTCATAACTGTTCTCCAATTTACAAGCAATATGAAGAGCAATGAATCTGGTTCTATATATTTGTTATATTCATATTGGGGGAATACATATTGGGAGGAAGAAAAAAGTCAGACACCCTGTTGATATTATTTCAGCCAATTGAGATTAACTGTCTCTATGAAGTTAGTGATCAAAGAGGCATGTTCTCTTAGTCCTTCAGCAACTCCTCAGACTCTTGTCTCTGACATCTATGTGAAAAGTGTTGCAGGTATATGTGGGTTAAGGACAAGGGCCTAGAAGAGCAGATAGATGGGTGAATTTCATATTTAAGGATACAGCCTATAGAATGAAAGCATCCAGCCAGTAAATCTTCACTATTTCATGAAGACACTGAGAAAATGCCCTAATCCGAGATAACATGTGAAGAGGATTACTGCATTCAGACACGTGGGTGGGAAAAGGAAGACTAAGTTAAAAGGAATGTTCTTATTTAGAGCTGTGCTGTTTGTGCTCTTCAGAGTCTGACTGCTTTTTTTCCTTAATATCTTGGCATTTGACTCCATTTAAGAACAGTAACAAAAAAAAAAAAAAAAAAGATATTTCATGCTTAGTTCCTTACTCTGAGAAAATGCCACAGAAAGTTTAGAGGAGACCACAATGGCTATTAGTTCTTCGTATGCTCCTAAAATAAGGAAAACCCATAAAAATCCCTCAAAGCCCAATTAAGGGTAGGGTTGTGAGGACAGGACTGAAGTGAGGTGAAATCTAGGTAAAGTCACCTCCCTAGAAGAATCCCCCAGTCTCCAGGGAAGATGTTCTCTACACAGGTATGAGGGAGTAGTTTGGGTTTAAAGTAGAAAGCCCAGGACTCACAGGAAAATGACCTGGGTTTAAGGGCTGATTATACCAGTAATATCAGTGTGACTTAGGCAAGTCTCTGAATTCCACAGGAGCTCACTTGCCTCCCTCACAGGTAAAATGTGGGGATTAGATCAGATGGTCATTAGAGGTCCCTTGCATCTCTAGATTCCCACGATCCAGGTGATATGCTAAGATGCTGGGGTTGGTAATCAAAGAACCTAAGGCTTGGACCAAGCACACAGGTATGCTTGAGAAGAAACAGGGGAGAGCCCCAAACTACGTCTTTCCCAATTCTTCCCCTTGCCAACTACATGACGTTAATCAAATTTCGACTTCTCTAGGTCTCAGATTCTTCCTCTGCAAGGTGGAGATGAATGTAGGAAGATCAATTTGCTCTTCCTATCTTGTTGGAAAGTTTTGCATTAATACAAATATTAATACAAGAGCCAGCTGCAGTTCTTATACTCATAACGACCTAAAGCAAAGAGGCAAGAGTAAAAGCAAACGTGATGTGACCCTGCTGTTAAAAACTAGATGAGATGCACCACCCCTCACATCTTCTGCTTCAGGCCAGTGGTGAAAGACAGGTTCTATCTGACCTTACAAAGATTTCCAAACCCTCTACCTCCTTATATGGCAAACACAGGCAGAATAGAATATTTGTCCTCTATCCTATACCTAACTATCATATTTTGTTTCATTAACTTTCTTACTGGCCAAATATAAAAAATATTACACTAAAATACATTTAAGGAAGAGCACTGATTAAGTTCCATTTAGTATAAGTCAAAGTCATGACATTAAGTCATTCATAACATTGGTTATACAGTTTCTCTTAAACAGTAATTTCTTTCTTCTTCTTTTTTTTTTTTTTTTTTTTTTCTTTTTGCGATAGAGTCTTGCTCTGTTGCCAGGCTGGAGTGCAGTGGCGCAATCTTGGCTCACTGCAACCTCCGCCTCCTGGGCTCAATCAATTCTTCCGCCTCAGCCTCCCGAGTAGCTGGGACCACAGGCACGTGCCACCATACGCAGCTAATTTTTGTATTTTTAGTAGACATGGGGTTTCACCGTATTGGCCAGGGTGGTCTTGATCTCTTGACCTCATGATCCGCCTACCTCGGCCTCCCAGAGTGCTGGGATTACAGGCCTGAGCCACCGCGCCCACTCTATATAGTAATTTCTAATCATTTCCATCATTTTAAAAGAAGAGCAAAACTCCTTAAATGACCTTTTCTAATGTACAAGATAGGATCTAGGATCTGTATGGCACAAACTGTCCTTCTATTCTTAATACTAAAACAATAATAATTAGCATATGCTGATAGCTTAATATGTGAAAAGATTACTGCATATTTTATCATACTTGTTTTTTAACTCAGAAAACCGTATGGTATAAATTACCTATTATCCACTTTTACAGCTGAGCAAACTGAGGCTTAACGAGCATACCAGTAGGGAGCAGAGCTCTGACCCTGAACCACTGCTTACAGTCAACCATGCTCTATTTGCTGTTATCTCTTTTTGTGGGTAGTTTCACACGTAAAATGATACAGATTTATTGTATATTTACCATACACTAGTACCACAGTACAGACTACAGCAGATAAATGACCATGTTGGGTGCATGACCACCTGCAATCAAGTTGGAGCTATTTTACTTGCTAGTTTTCCCAAAGGAGACATCAAGATGCTAATCAGCACAGAATACCAAGTTTTTGTGCAGGCAGTAGCAGAGCGGTAGTTAGGAGCACCGCACTGAGATGAACTTATGTTCTGTTCAAATCCAGGCCCTGCCCCTCATTAGTGGTATTAATGAGGGCAAGCTCTAGCAATGCAGCAACAGACAGCATGTATCTGCTCAAAGAACAAATAATATGTGCAAACAGCCCAAGTATACTGTATTACAAGCATTCTTTCTAGGCCTCAGGTTTTTTTCATCTGAAAAATTAGAGTACTAATTCTTACTACTCACTCAAGCAACTGAGTTACTACTGAGTTATTACTACATGCCAAGTTTGAATAAAAGGTCTATGCTGTGGTAATTCTTCATTCAAAAGAATCTTATGAGGACTGTTTTACGGAAGAAGAAACAGGCAAAGAGGTGTTGGATAACTTGCCCAAGTAAGTGGCAAATCTGTAATGTGAATCCAAAGTCCTTTTAATAAATTACAATATACACAGATAATTTAGAACACTCCCGGGCATAGAATAATACTAGCCAGCATTTGCTGAGCTCTTTTGCTGTTGTTGTACCTAACATGATAAACACTTAGACTTCTCAAGCTCCCAGAGAAGGGTTTTGCCCTGTAGCCTGAACAGGCTCCCAGGTTGAAGATACTCCGGGCTCTCGACCACCAGAGCAACTCTCTGGAGGACACAGAACACAGTGAAACTTTGTTTTCCAAGTCCTTGAGTTTAGTGAATATATCAAGATTCGGAATGCCTCCAAAGCAGAGGCCAGTATACCAAAAGAGCAGCAGAAACAAAATGATCTGAGGTCCCTGCACTAAAGGAGCTTATGATCTAGTTGAAGAAAGAAATACGTTAACAGAATACTTGGACTGTTTGCACATATTAGAGTACTAAGCTCAGTGGCTTTCAGGCTGAGAACTGACAAGAGAGAACCAAAAAAACAATGCATAAATATCTGTTGCCTCTAGATTGTAGCCAATTGAGGATTTGTTACACTCTTTTGTGGGGGTGGATGACCTACCTGTCCAAACTTCTTCCTCCTCAGACCTGCTAAACCCCAAAATTATAAATAAAACTGAAAATAAATAACTGGGCCTTTTAAAAATTTTTAGATAAATTGGCTCCAAGACAAACTGGAAAAACTGCAAAATTAATTTTTGTTGTTTTGTTTTGAGATGGAGTCACGCTCTGTTGCCCAGGCTGGAGTGCCTCCTGAGTAGCTGGGATTACAGGTGCGCGCCACCACATTCAGCTAATTTTTGTATTTTTGGTAGAAATGAGGTTTCACCATGTTGATCAGGCTGGTCTCAAACTCCTGACTTTGTGATCTGCCCACCTCAGCCTCCTAAAGTGCTGGGATGGCAAGCATGAGCCACCGCACACAGCCTAAAATTGTTTACTGGATATGTGTACATAGAAAATAGTGCTACATATAAAGATGAGGTAGAGTGTGGCTCACAGTAATATGCAATTCTTAAATATCACAGCTACAACTGTATTCTAGTTGTCTCACCCAGGCATTTTGAAAACCTAAAAAATGAAAACTTTTAGAGGATAATGGCTTGCACTAGGTCAAAATGGTATATGCTTATATTATGTATAGCAAAACAAATTAATAGAAGAATAGTAAATGCCTGGTTTTCAGCCATGCCTTACACAGGTC